GGGCTCTGCGTGCCACTTCCAGAACGCATGCCACAGGTCCTATAGATTTAATGAGCCTATTTTAGATAGGGCTAAATTGTGAATTTCATCCTAGTAGAATAATAAAGATTGAATTTTCTGTGATAGCATTTATATTCTTCAATAAATGTGTTCTAGTTTTTTTTAAGCTATATAGAATTACATTTGAAAGAACTTCTGCTGAGGCATGTGCAAAAAATGAAATGAAATGAATGAATGTTGGAAATTTGCCATAAAAAAAAAAGCTCAGATAATTATATAGTAAGGGTTGGATATAAGCCAATATAAAAATGCAACATTATAGGGGTAAAGGTTAAGAGAATCTAGTTAAAATGAAAAGTTACTCCCTGAAAGTGTATTTAGCTGGGGAAAACAAAGTTATCTAATTTATACATTGCACTAGGCTACAGTCTGTTTAATCATAGTTTATTATATCACCATTGGGTAGGATTGCCAGATATGGCGAACCATCAACTTGGCTTAAAAATTACAATGGGCAGGCTCACATAATAAACTCTGTCAAAATCAATCAACCACATTATGCCTTAATGTGATATATGAACCCAGTACATGCATTAAGAACTAAATGCTTATTTAAGTTATATATTTAAGCATTCTCATTTGACCAGTACAAAAACAGCTCTACCTTCTATGAGTTTAATTATTGTGTATATAAACTTGTTCATTTTGTAATCTTTTCTCTAGCAGTAGTCTCAATCCCAAGTCTTCTGTATGTCACAGGAACCAAGATATAGAGTTTCTAAAAGGTTGGAGTTCATGGATTGGGAGGGCGGGGGAGAATGATTTTACAGTGGAGGCAGATGTTCTTTGACGTCTGTTTGAAAACATTTTAAAACCATGTTATTAGGGAGTTCTATAGATACAAGTCTGAAGTGGAAAAGGTATATAATATTATTAGAAGCAGGGATGGGTTCTGGCAGGCACTACTGCCGGTTCGCTTGTGGGTGCGCTGTGCGTGCATGCACTGTGCAATAAAAATTGTATTGTGCACATGTAGAAGTGAAAAACAAGATGGCGGTGCCATAGGCGCCACCCATAAAACCAGTTCGGGGCGTGGAAGACCTGGGTCACTACCAGTTCCAGTAACTCAGGCCGCCAAACCACTACCAGTTTGGCCGAACCGGTCTGAACCGGTAGGAACCCACCACTCACTAGATCAGTGATGGAGAACCTTTTTTGGCTCACGTGCCCAAAATGGGGGGAGTGCAGGGGGTCGTGCGCAGGTGTGCCGCACCCATAATGCTATGCACACGACCACAACGTGCATGCACACACGACAAGTGCTCCACCCATTTTTGGCATGCTTCCCCCCCCCAGGCTCCAGAGGCTTTATAGGAGCCTCCTCTAAAGGGAGGGCGAAAACAGCCTCTCCCACCCCACCCCACCTGCCCCCAGAGGCCCTCCGGAGGCTTCAGGAGCTTCTCTGAAGCCTCCGGAGTACAAAAAAACGGCCCTAAGGGCAAACCAGAAGTTCAGGAAAGGGCAAACGGTTTGCTCGTAGGGCCGTTTTTTCACATTCCGGAGGCTTCTGGGATGCTCCTGAAGCCTCAAAGAGGGCAAAAAATGGCCTCAAAAGAAGGCTGAAGTGTGCGCTGGCCAGCTGACAGGGCAAGCCTTGCATGCCCTGACAAATGGTTCCACGTGCCACCTGTGCGTGCCATAGTTTCGCCTTCACAGGACTAGAGGTTTACCTCTTTAATAACTTACACGCTTTCTGAGATGCCAATAAAACTGATTCTGCAATGTATTACCATGGGATGCCACCTAAGCCCCTAAATCTCAAGGCAACCTAACAGCACAGCAAGAAACTATTTCAAAAAGAGAGAATGCATGTTTGAAGATACTTAAAATCCATTCAGTACCACTCTTCTCATCACCTTAAAAATCTAATTATGGGATGTCCTTTCATGTTTTTTATCAGGAAATTCCTGGTTCATGCATCTAAACTTTACTTAGAAGTGATCCAGACACCAATTGGAAACAGGGCCTTCTCCAAGACTAAGTTTTCTGAGTAGTCAGGAAACTGTGGGCTTGAAGTTTTTTTGCCCTTGTATGTGACCAATATCTGCCAGCAGAAGAATGCTGGTCAATGGTGCTTTCTTTGTAGGGAATCTCAAGAATGGACTGGTGGATTCCCTCCCTTCCATCAAATGCCACCAGCTATAGAAAGGAAAGAATGATCCTGGCAGACAATACCTAGGAATCAAAGTGGAGAGTGCAAGCGCACAACAGCTGAAAATAGTCAATAGGTGCCAGGATAATCCCACTGAGGGTCGCTGGAGTGACACACCACCACCACATCCAATTACAGCCCTAGCAAAACTGCCGTGGACTTTTGCTTGTGTAAAGGGAAAAAGCACCTGGTCAATTAAGGACCACTTGAAACAGCTTGAGATTCAGGATGGGGAAGAGATGAAGACAATGTCATGCGGACGAGGCAGAAAGAAAAGATTTGGGGGCCATGTTTGATCTGATGTTAGATGCAGGGATGGGTTGCTGCTGGTTTTACTACCGATTTGCAAGCCGTGCGCAATGTAAATTGTTCTGCGGGGATGCGCAGAACAATTTACAGTGAAATGCATATGCGCAATCACTGAAATGCAAAATGGTGGTGGCCCAGCGGCAGCAAGGGAACCGGTTCGGGGACGTGGCAGGCCTGGGTCGCTGCCGGTTCTGCGACCAAGGCCTGACTTCCACTACTGGTTTGGCTGAGCCGGGCCAAACTGGCAACACCCCTAGTTAGATGCGACTGGGGAAAGGCCCGATTCAAATATAACATAAATCTTTTTGTAATAGAGCAAAACCTGTCCTGTTTACTTCAAAAACCCAACAGAAACATTTTAGAAGCACCCTAGTCCTCTCTTATTTTTGTTTCTTAGCAACTGGTAGTCAGGCATATTGTCTCTGAACCTGAAAGAAGCATGCAGTTTGATTATTTAAAGATTATGCTTAAAATCAAGAGCCAAGGTAAAGAAAAAGGTGTTGGGTTTCATTGAGAAAAACGGATTTCAATGAGAAAAGTCAAGATGAAGTCCAAGTTCAAGTCACTTAATGGCTTTTGGCCAGTCAACTTACCTCCCCAGGTTGTTGCTGACAAAATAATAGAACTCCACTAAATATGCTGCTTTGAGTTTTCAGACAAAAGGTAATTTACATGCAGTACAGTAATATAATATTTAACCAAGTATCTTATTGATTGCTACAGATTAGGGGGAAAAGTAATTTCATGATTAATTTAGCTAACAGGGTAGAACTTTTAAAGTATTGTATTGATGTGTTTTGATTTTATATCTAATGAAAAATAAGCTTGTTTCATATATTCAGTACAAAATCTGAATACATATGTTTGTGATATGATTAGTGATTTATACGTACATATAAGGAAGTAATTTGATAAAGGATTAAATTAAATATCTGGAATCCAGAAGAAAGAAAAGTTTGTGGAAGTGTAGAATTTAAGATGTTCTCAGGTATCAGATTTATTTAGAAGTGATGTCTACTGAATTCAGTAGAAAACAGAATTTTTACTATTAATTATATCACGGTTCATAAAACAATTGTAAAAATCCAGCTCTCATTTGTCACATATTTAGCTGCATAACTGATGATTCATAGCATCATCATGATGGTCATATTTTTGCGCTAGAAATGTGTATTTATGCATCCAATGTCTGAATAGAGAACAGGACTTGCAACTTTTGCAAAGCTGACTCAGAGCCCAAGAAGATAAAAGTAGATGTTCCTTTTGAATGTAACTTTTGTTTTTAAAAGAAATCATGTTGAAAACTAAATGAAAAATGTGATTTTAACCCAAACTTGATTTTTCAAAAATATAATGGGACATAACACTTGATAATATTAATGATTGTTAAATAGTAAATAATTTAAGTTTTGTCAGTTTGGTGTAATGGTTAAGCTAGTCCTGTGTGTGTCCTTCTAGTCCTCCCTTAGGCATAAAACCAGCTTGGTCAGTGGCCCCCAAGCTTCTGGGCAGCGGGGACTAAGGTAATGGTGGTTCCGCGCACTACCTAGATTCTGCGCATGCTCAGATGAAGCTTTGCTTGCTTGTGTGGCCTGCTTCCTAACAGGCCACAGTATCACATCAGGAGTCCGTGGCCTGGGGATTGGGGAATCCTGAGCTAGGTAACCTTGGGTCAGTCACTCTCTCCTGGGTCTATGAAGGAGGCAACGGCAAATAACTTCTGAAAAACCTTGCCAAGAAAACTGCAGGGACTAGTCTAGTCAGTTGCCAGGAGAAAAAAAGAAAGACTTGAAAATGTGCCTATCTGCTTGGACACTTTCACACGTAAAAATCCAGCCTGGTAATTTAGTCTCCATTGTTATTAAGGCTCTGCTATCTTTTGCCTGAAATAGGTAAATTTAGAAGCCATAGAAAGAAGAGAACATATGCTAGAATAATTATTTCAGTTTCTTAAAAAATGCCTCGAGATTCCCCGTTTTTACTCCCAAGTAAGTGAGCAGAGCCGCCTCCAATGTCTTCAGCTGAAATATGTGAACATCATTCATTCTTTCCGCCAAACCTCTCGCAGCGGTTCTGCTGGCTTCACTGGTTTTGCATTGCAGATGTGACATCGGCAGGTATTTGCGACGACAGTATTTGTTAGCAAACTTTGTGCATGTGTGTAACGACGAAAACAGCGGGCGGGGGTGGGTGGGTGGGTCGGCGTCTAGTGGCGTTTTTTTCCCCTCTTTTTTCTTTCCCTTTTTCCCACCGAGCGCTATTAATCGGCTGTTGACAAGGAACCCGAAGCCGAAAGGAACAAAAACAAGGTGCTGGCCCTTTAAATTTCTGAGGGAGGGCCCAAGGATCTGTAGGATGACATCAGTGGGTTTGGCCGTGAGATTCAATGGAAACTCAATGAGCGAGCGCTCCGGCTGTACACTGGGAGAGAGAGGCTGAAGGGGAAGGAGGGAGGCGGTTGAGCAGGCAGAGCACGGAGAAAGAGGAAGCGGCGGTAGCAGCGCAGCACTGGCTACGGCCATCAGCCTCCCTTCCCAATCCTCCGTCATCCTCCCCCCCCGGCTTTCCCTCCCCCCTGACAGCCCCAGGAGCAGCAGCGGTAGGGAGGCTCCTTCCAGGCGGGGTGAGTATTGGGGGGCTCCGGGCAAGTTTTGGGGTGCAAATCCGGGGGGAAAGGCGGCCCCACCGCCTCTTTGTGTTTTTTTCTTTTTTTGTTGAGAGGAGGGATTAGGCGGGGGAGGGGATCGACGCTTACCCACAGCGGTGCGGCCGTCGTCCGGGGGAGGAAGGTGAGTCTCAGCGACTGGGGGGGGGGGAGATGTTTGTTTTGTTTTCGGGTTTTTTGGATGAAGACAAAGGACGGTAGGCACCCCCTCCCGCGCCTGAATTTCAGGATGGGTTCCCCTTCCCTTTCTCTCGCCTGTCCCTTCTGATAGGCAGAAAGAGACCCGATCCTTTTCTTCTCAGTTGATTCACCGGAGAGCGGGGGGAGAGTTGAGATCGCCATCGTGATCCATTTGGGGGGGGGGAAGAGGAAGGGGGGACTATTGTTTTTCTTCCATTCTGCTTCCACATCTGGTGATTTCCAAATAGCCAGCATTGAGACGGGTGTCCCCCCCCCCCAGAATCGGTTAATAACCAGCATTGTGTGCCTAAAAGTGCTGTCTTTGGCAAATAGGGTGTGTGTGTGTGTGTGTGTGTGGTGTATGAGG